CAGAGGAGCCTGGAGAGCTACCATCCACGGGGTCACAAAGAGTCAGACATGATTGAGTGACTCACACACACACATACACACATTGGCTATGAATGTCATCAGTTGGCTGATCTATAAAAAGGAATTAATCGTATAACTCATGGTAAAACGTATGCCCATCCTGTAGGCTTGGGAGGTGTAGTGCTGATTTCCTGATTAATGAATCTTCTGGGGTGGAAAGTCTTCTGTAACCAAGTCAGCCATCTGTGGTTGGTTCTGGGGAAGAAACTCATAAATCACACAGAGCAAGGTTGGCATGTGGCATCTGGCTCAGCAGCAAGCCATGGCCCAGGCTCATGCCCACCCACCCTCTGCCCCAGAGTCATCCATCACAGCCCAGAGCTCTGCAGCCTGCTTAGCAGAGGCCAGGCCTGCTGCACACAGTGTCAGCTCTCTGACCCTCGGTGCCAGGTGGTAACCCATGCCCTCCAGGAGGAGACCAGGAACCATCTCTGTCACCAAACCGGTGGCTCTCAAACCCGAGTGTGCATCAGAATGCCCCAGGGGCTCGTTAAATATAGATGGCTGAACACCACTCCCAGGATTTCTGATTCAATAGGTCTGGGTGGAGTTTAAGAGTCTGCATTTCTAGTAAGTTCCCACATGATGCAGACGCTGCTGGTCTGTGGGACCACCTGCACTTCTGTGGGACTGAGTTTAAACCTTGCTATTTGTCCTTGGGCAAGTTTCTTCTGACTGAGCCCCCACTGCCTCATCCCTAAAGAGGTCACACCAGAGCCTACCTCAAGGAAGTGTGGGCCCCAGATGAGAAAATGCACGTGGTAGCCCTATGCTGTTCTGGGATCCCAGGAAATGCTCAATCATGTGAGCCTCCGACGTCTTCCATGTTTCATTTTGTAGGGCTCAGAGACATCTAATAAGCAGCAAGAGTGGAGCTGCGAAGATGCCAAGCTTTTAAAGAAAAGTGAGAGAAAAAATGAACAAATACAGATTGGGTGCTTTTTGAATGCAATGTTCTGATTCCTAAATGCAAAAACACCTTATCACTCAAAACAAAACAAGCAAAACCCAGCTACAATCTTTCATTTCATTCATTCTACAAGCCAGCATTTACCAGGAAGCCTAGAACCAGGCTCTGTGATCTGGCTGTGGGAAGTACGAGGCTGCAGTGGACATAGGTCCTATAGTCCAGTTTCAATAGAAAAGAGAAGACAAGTACACCAGCATAAGGAGGCATAAGGAAGAAGGTGCTCACTGCAGCCAGAGAGGAACATTCAAGATGCTGAAGAAACAGGCCAGAGAGATGTCTTCGGGCAGGTGGGAGGTAGGGCAGGTTTCCTTATGGAAGCAGCATTTGTCTGGAAAATGGGTAGCCTTCGATCCACGGGGGTAGAAGAAACAAAAGTACAAACAAGAGAAGGCAGGCCACGACTTCCAGAAACAGGATGCAGGGCAGTTTGGCTGGATTGCAGGGTGAGGGACAGAGGGTGGGAGCTCCCATTTGCTCACTGTGACCTGATTTCACCTTAACAACCGCCGACACTCCCACCCCTAGGGAGAACAGGCTCTGGAGAGCAGTGTCCATCGGGGCCAGAGCCACTCGTGACCGGGAGCAGAGGCGCCTGGAACTCTGCAGCTGCCGTAGAGACTGGGGGGGCCTTCAAGCCACGTGGGCCTCAGAGAGCCTCCTGCCTCGCTGACGGCCGCTTCTCACCCAGATGGTGGCAGAGGCCCCAGTGAGGCCCGACTCCTCTCCTGGTTCGGGACTCTCCTTCCCAGCTGGCGGCATTTCTCCTTAAGGGTGAGCCGGTTCTGGCTCTGCTCTGGCCCCCAAACCTGGTCTCTACATTCATCCGGCTCCCAGGGAGCCCAGGGGGCCGCCTGCCTTCCCCTTGGCTTCTTCCTCTCGCAGTGAGGGTAAGGGCCAGTGTATTCAGACTGCACAGTCTGCAGCCAGCCGGCCTGACTCTCCCCAGCACGGCTTCCCCCCTCCACGCTCCCCCCGCTTCAGAGCATTACAAACCTGATGACCATGGTGTTGCCTGGGGCACCCATCATCACAGAGATGAAACTGGGAGTCAGCAGGTCTAGGTGGGAGCCTGGACACAAGCACCCTTACAAGCACAGCTGATTCCAGCAGGTTATCTGGATGTACCTTGACAGACAACTCCTTTGAAAGAAGAATTGTTGAAAGACAGGTTTGATTTTCAGATTGCTTGAGGGGTCAGAGATAACCAGAACCTGGGAGCGAGAGAGCAAGAAGAAATCCAGTCTTTCTGAAGGCAGCCATTTGTATTCATTCTCTCCAGATAAGGATCACTGAATTTTCCAGGCCATCTCTTCCCACCTTTTCCCTGGCCCTCCCCAGCCTGAGAAAATTGAGCCCTGGAGGAATAATCACTGGCTCAAGAAGAAGAAGGCACATCTGTTTGGCTTTAAATGGTTCCCGCAGTTCTATCTAGAATTCTTCTCTGATTACCGCCTGGTCCACATCATCACCATGCTGTGTGCACTGGGGGAAAAGTCAAGACAGCTGGGTAATTGCCACTAAGCCTCCTCCGACTGGGCTAGTATGGCCAGTCAGCTTCACAAGGCCTCACCCAGCCCACCCTTTACCTGGCCCGAGACAGGTAAAGCCCAGAAGGTCACATCAATGTAGAGCCCAGCTACTTAGGAAGCATCATGACTCGCTGGCCCCCAGGCCCCTCTGTGTTGCTCCCATAGCTCCCACCTCCCCTTCGGTTTTATCATCTAGTGTTACGGTTGTCTGTGTATCTGTCCAGGCTTCCCTGGTGCCTCAGATGGTAAAGAATCTTCCTGCAATGCAGGAGACCTGGGTTCGATCACTGGGTTAGGAAGATCCCCTAGAGAAGGAAATAGCAACTCACTCCAATATTCTTGCCTGGAGGATTCCATGCACAGAGATGCCTGGCAGGCTATGGTCCACGGGGTCACAAAGAGTCAGACATGACTGAAAAGATAGCATGCACGCATGCCTGTATCTGTATCCATCTCCTCTGCTAGAACATCAGTTCTAGAATATTTCTGTCTTGTTTACATTTGTGTCCTCACCCCTGGCAAAATGCCTGACATGCAGCGGGTACTCAAAATGCTTGTTAATGGCAGCAATAACACACACTTACCAAGCAGCAGAAAGGGCCGGGTGCTTCGCGGTCATTAAATAAACCAGTCCTCACAAAAACCCTTGAGAGCTATGAGTGAACCCATTTCATAGGTGAGGAAACCAAGGCTAGGAGATGAAGTGACTTTCCAACTAGCCAGTGGCAGAGTGGGATGGCTCCGGGTTGATGGGGTCTCTGGATCCCCATACCCACTACACCTTTCCCAGCTCTCCAAAGCCTCCACCCAGCTCGGCTGCCCACGGCCCAGCTGCCAGGTCAGGACAGAGTGGCCCCTCCCTGCTCCACTGCAAGGTCTTTGCTAAGAGCCTGACTGTGAAGAACTTTTAAGATGAGAGAAGCTGCCTGGGTCCCCCCCTCCCTGTTCTGGAGGAAATAGTGTCACAGGGGACTCAGAAATACCACAGACACTGAGAACATTCACGAGGATAAAGCTGTGGACACCGTGAACTCCTGCCCTTCCTCTCCAGGTCTCCTTTCCTGTTTCTTTGGTGGGAAGAGGACCACACCCCACTGGAAACCATCCTCCGCAGGCCTGGGGGCGCCAGACCCCTGGGAGGACAGAGATGTTGCCTGGGTGATATTCTCCTAGCTGTGAGGGGAGATACCCATCCCAGGGGAGGCAGGAGTCTCTCCAGGAGGAGCCTTTGTGAAGGCAAGTCACAGAGGCCAGGGACGGAGGACCCCTTGCTGCTGGCCCCACGCAGACTCCCCTCCCCGCCTCCCCTCCCTGGGTTCTCTGGAAGAGTCCTCTTTTCTGTCGGGTTTGGGTTACATAAGGCCCAAGGTTAATGGTTAATGGCCAGCCCCAGGGCTTTACTGAATCCTCCAGGGGCTGGTTAAGAGCAGACAGCCTTAGTTCCCAGGGGGAAAAAAAGACAGGGGTGAGAGAGAGAATGGCCTCTGGAGAGGCTTAGAGGAGGGCAAGAGAGAGCTGACTCATGAGAAGCCAGCACCAGAGCCCTTCAAGGGTGGGAGTAAAACCAGGGGGAAGGAAGGCTGACTCAGCCAGGCCGGGAGGGCGGCCCGAGAAGGCAATGGGCAGTGCGCCGTGCTCCTTGAGAAGACTATGGACAGATGGACTCCACAGCCACGTCGTGTACTCGGAACCGTCACCAGCCGGAGCTTTGCTCCGGGCCCATCGGGCCTGGTGGTCAGTTTTGGAGAATTCCGAATGAGCGGCCCTGAGACCAGGGTGAGGGTGGGGGTGGGAATGGCTGTGTCCGGGGAGGCTTAGTCATGTGCTGGCCTGCCCACTACAGTTCATGTGTGTGCCGAGGCTGTGTTTATTTTTACCTGGGTAGGTTCAGTTTCCGATCACAGGAACGGTGGGGGCTTTCCATTGGTTTCTATGGAAACATTAGACAGAGCATCTGCTACCCAAGCAAACAAGGCTAGGGTGGCAAGACTCATGCTGGAATGACTTCGCTGTTTTTACTAAGGAAAACTGGCCCACCTGCATTTTTACTGCTGCCTTCTTGTATGGCAGGGGAGAGGAAGGGCAGTCCAGAGGGGCCAGCTGGCACCTAGGGAAGGAGAGAGGGCTGGCGAAACCAAAAGACAAGCATTCAGAGAAGCCCCTTGGTTTCCACTTCGAAGGCCCAAGTAGGTCCCATGATGAGGTCACAAGAGCCTGGGCTCTGGTCCCAGTTGCCCCATCTCATGGCCTCCCCCAGGGTGGCCTGCCTGTTGTTCAGGAGTCCCTGGGGTCCCATGGAGGGGGATGTAGGTGGAGGAGCAAGCTACCCAGTGCAGGAGGAGGTGAGAGTTGAGCGTGCTCAGTTTTCTGGAATAGAGGGCGGGAGGGAGGTGCTGAAGGCCTTGGCTCCAGAATCAGAAAGGAAGGCGCTGGTGCACATGCCCATGTGAGAAGTGGTTTTATTCCAGGTGTTTTTCATAAAGACGAGGTCCTCAGGGACAGCGAGTGGCACATGCTTTGGTCAAGAAGAGGAAAAGCAAGAACAGAACAGGGCTGAGTCCCAAAGGAGGCTGACAAGTGCTGAGCCCAGCCCAATCACAGGGAAGGAGGGGGCCCTCTGAAAGGCTGAATGGCAATCCTCTTACATTCAGTAAGGGATGCCCAAGATTCCTGTCCCAAAGGCCCCCACTACCCGCCGGGGTAGACACACACACAAGGGAGATGGCGCTGGGTAAACATCTCACAGAGGATGGGAAAAGTGTGGCTCTGGGAGCCAAGGGCTCCTTGCTGTGAGTGTAGGGGGTGCAGGCTGAGGCCCAGGAGCACTGCAGAGAGCCAGGAGGTGAAAGGAAACCAGTGAGAGCCCTCCAGGGTGGGAGTGGCGGACCACAGCCCCAAGGCTGTGCAGAGGGAGCGGGCCACAGCAGTTGAGGCACGCTATGGAGGGGGAGGGGCATGGCAGCTCCAATCCAGGAAAGTCCAGACCCTCTGGGAGTCAGAGACCTTTGTATGAACCTGGGACAATCCATGGATCCTCTCCCCAGGACAATGCATATATGCACACACATGCACTATTTGGGGAACCATTTCAGGAGATTCCTGGGCCCTCCAGAATCTATGAACTCCCCTTAGGCATTCCAGGCTGATTTGCTTTGGGTGGGGGACAATCCCCCCACCCGCCCCCCGCAGGAATCCTGGTATCACCAGACTTTTGCCTAAGATCACTCGGCCTAGGCCAGTGGGGCGGGGGAAGAGGAATGTTGGAAATATTAATAGCAGAAGTGGTTCCAAGACCAGGCCCAGGAGGAGGGAGAGAGAGACCCAGTGGGTGTGAGGAGAACTGGGAACTCTGTACACACTGGGGCCGCCAGCCAGCCTGCTGGCCGCTGCAGTAGCCGAGCCGAGGGCCTCCCTCCGGCAGTGGGGAGTCCAGCCTGGATGACTTAGTCCCCACAGCTTAACGATGCTCCCCGTTCCTACCGCCCTGAACCCCGATCCCGTAACGACACTGTATTTACAGAGGCAAGGGCTTCAGAGCAGGCAGGAGTCAAAATCTAGCAGGGAGGACGGGGCGGCTCAGTGGTGCCTGTCCTTACGGGGGTCCACCCGGTGTGCCCAGGCAGAGGCTCAGGGCACCTACTGGTCTTTAAGGCCCAAGGGAGAGGTCTTGTCTTGACACATATCCAAACAGAAGCGGGATCTGTTTAATAAACTGGGTCCCGAGGCTGCCCCTGGAGGTGCCCCTGCAGCATCTTGCTGAGAACGTGGGAACCAGAGCGTGGGACTGGAGGCGTTGGGCCCTGGGAGGAACTAGGTCCCTGGGCGAGACCCATTCTTTCCCGTGCTTTGCAGCTTTTCTATTCTCGTCTCAGCTCACTCATCCTTGGCCCTGGCTCCCATCCCTCCTGTCCCCAACCCAGCACCTGCCCGGGACAGACCCGAGCGGCTCACTTCTTCCTGTTCCCCACCTGCCCACAGGCTGCCCCTCCCTCTGCCTTCCGCCTGCCTCCTGTCCACGGCTGCCCACGCTCTCCTCTTGTGCCCAACCCCACAGGCAGGCCCCGGGGGCCCAGCAAGACTCGTGGGGGCTGCTGTCCTCCTTTTCCCCAGCCCACGAGGAGAGGCCCCAAACCACTGTCCAGGCCTTGGGAGGGTGAAGGGCGTAACAAAGGGCCAGGCTGCCCAGTCGCAGTCCAGTTATCCCCAGGCAAGGCCGGGTGGCAGCCAGGACAGCAAGCAGGGCATCCCCCTGCATCCTCCCCGTCCAAGCTTTGGAGCATCGTGTGTTGTGGCAGCGGTGTTGGCTGATGATTCCGGCAGAAATGTGACGAGATGGAGACGGCCCGCTTTACACTTCCCCACCCCAACCCCCTTCCGGTCCCAAAGTCTCATGCAAAAGGTACAGGAGGCCGGGGGCTACGGTCATGTGTGCGGCAACAGCTGCCACTGCTGGGCTGGGACGTCGGCCTGGCACTTGCTGGTCACCAGCTGGGCGGGCTTGGCCTCCAGGCAGAGGCCGCTGACTGAATGCTGGATGAAAGAGGCTTTTCTCCTCCATCTCTGAGGGGAGAGGCAGAAAAGGGGTGGGGGAGAGAGAAACAAGGATTAATAATAATAATAACATCCGTACCCGCATTACACATGGGTGTAAGTGGCCCTAGGACACAGTCCCCTTTAAATCATCTGTGTCCTTTGCATAAGAGGCACTGCACCCCACACACAAGCTTTAAGCCCAGTCCTTCTGATGCACTCTTGATTCCACAGGTTGGCACAAAGTTACTGTCTAGATCAGAGGCCCACAGGCTGAATGTAACCCAGAGGTGGATTTTGTTTGGCCTGCACAGCGCTTATCTAAAGTTTGGCTTAGCCTTCACATAGAAACCTGCATTTCCAGCTTCCCTTTAGACACAGATCCAGGCTCTTCGGTTGCAGCTGAAGATCTGCTGCAGGTGGGGTCCTAGTTTCTGGGTGGGAGGGGCCATGTACTTACTGGAGCCACTGTTAGAAGGGAGATGAGCAGCCCCAGTTGCAGGGGGACACAGCGTGGGCAGAGAAGGGAACCATCTGGGAGGTGGAAACAAGGTGGAAGGTGTGGGGGAGGTGCTGCAGGCCTGGATTTCCCTTAGGAGTGTGGGCTGTGGGATACGGATCGCTGAGAACCAGTCTTTCTTGCCCATGTGGTCCAAGCAGAGAGGGATTCCTGGCTTAAAGGTCCTGGGCAGTGGGCAGGACAGGGCCTTTGGTCCCTCTGGAACCCACAGCATCCTACTGCCTGCGGTCTTCTAGTCTCTGACCCCCTGGGAGGGGCTGGCCACACACCCCGGCTAGGCATGGCTGGGCCATGCCATTCTTTCATCCATCTTTCATTTAGTTTTGTTCTATGAAGAATGAATGTGAGGGAGGAGCCAAGATGGCGGAGGAATAGGACGGAGAGACCACTTTCTCTCCTACAAATGCATCGAAGGAGCATTTGAATGCTGAGCAAATTTCACAAAAGAACTTCTGATCGCTAGCAGAGGACATCAGGCGCCCAGAAAAGCAGCCCATTGCCTTCGAAAGGAGGTAGGACAAAATATAAACGATAATAAGGGAGTCAAAAGAGCTACGGACGGAGACCCGTCCCGGGAAGGGAGTCTTAATAGAGGCAGTTTCCAATCACCAGGAAACCCTCTCACTGGCGGGACTGGGGGAAGTTTTCGGCACTCTAACTGGGAGGAAAAATTAAACCAGGCCCACAGATTGCGTGCCTAAGGGCAACTCCCAGCAGAAAAGCACCCCAGACGCCCGTACCCGCCAGCAACAAGCGGGGCGGAACGGAGAGGAGCGGGCGGCATTGCTTAGGGTGAGGTCCGGCCCGAAGACCCTGAGAGCAATCGGAGGGAGCTTTTTTAAACTGTGGGATAGCAAGGGACAAAATTAACCGGCCCGAACACACTGC